CTACCAGAATCGATAAAGAATATCAGAGCGGATTCACAGCCACCTTAAATTTTCCAAAAATTTGAGGTGGTCCTGAATCTGCTTCCACCATTTTTTTTTTTTTTTTTTTTTTTTACCACACTCATGGTTATGTCGCGTTAACAAGCTCAAGAAATCATCCGCGCACATCAATGTGCTCTCAGTGTAAGGCTCCTTTTGAGGGCTAGAAAAATACTGTTATCATCGATCATCAAAATATAACAGATAAAAAGATATGCTATGCTAGACTACAATCTTTAATAAAACTCTGGTTTGATTTTTAATTTCCTCTCACAAAATGGCCCGCGTGGATGAGACCTATAAATATGATTAAAACACGCAGCGAGTAAACTCAATGGCAGTAAAGTCGAATCATTTAAAAAAATAAGAAATTAAAAAAAACTCAAGATGATGAATCCTAAAACACGAAAACCATACGGAAGCATCGAATGAGGCTCGATCATTTTCTACGAATTTGTGATTTATTATAACGAAAACGTTTATTTTGGACAAGTTTTAACACCTTTGTAGTGGTAGCTACAAAGGAGTTAAAGAGTATGTACACGTCAATGTGATTACCATGCCTTAAATACAATTTTAATATGTCATATATACTCGTAGTTAGAGTATAAAAAGTTGCTAAGATATCCTAATAAGAGCGTTGAACTAAATTCACACTTTCACGCATGGAACTTTCATGGGTGTTTCTTAGGTGTTTCACAGACGTCAAACGGTTCACGATTCTGTAGACAATTAGTTCTTCTAGTTTCCTCTGTACGATTAGTCAGTCAGTTCCTCGGATATTTACAAGTATGATGTGCTTTTTGGCAGTCGAACTGAAAGCAAGAGCTACTCAAAAAAAAAATCACAATCAAGTAGAGATGAGAAATCAGAGACTTAAATGGAACCAAGATCAGCAAAAGTATGTTAAACGAACAAAGATATTTCGTCACTTTTTAACTGTAGATCAAATACAGTAGGTGAATATCTCCTGTACAGGTGGCAAGCATAGAGGAATATTAATGACTTCACAAGAAAGTGGTATCTCAAAAGAGATTTTTATCATCTTGCGCGTTAAAGTTAATGGTGTACGATATTTTCAAAGAGAAAAACACACGCGACACTTTGACCGCAAACTCGAGCGTGCGCCGAGCTCGACTGTGATCAAGGACAAGTGTGTAGGCTAGATTCAGTATGCCGTTTTTGCTCGCTTGATGTTCGACCATCGTTAACACAAGTTGTTTGCTTAATTACAAATGGTTTAAATATTCACTGGCAATCAGATCTATGCAAAATTACTAAGCCTAATATACGATAAACCGTTTTTAGAATTAAGCGCTTCGTTAATATAAACTTAGATCAGGCCACGCTGTTGTTAGTCAGTGAAGGAGAACTTCGTTTAATTTGGAGAAAACAGAAATAACATTTCGCTTGCTTTCTTTGTCAACAGGGCATTTAAATAAATATATTAAAGGTGAAGGTCGTTTTATTTCGATTTTCTGTCTTATTATTCCAACCGGAATTGATTGCAGACTTCAGACGGTTTTCACCGTTGACCCAAGTCTTTTTGTTCTTTGACAAATGTTTTGAAAACCACCAAACGCACTTATCAGGCCGAATACAGTCATGTTTAAAGCTCGCACGACAAAACACTTAGAAGCTTCTCTGGAGTGTCAATAAGATGCGCGGGACAGATAGGATTTTGTAACTCTAAAAACGTCGCAAACTCCGAGAACGAGTCTAAAACGTCCCACTCCACAGTTAAATTCATATAGCACATCGCCGTGGATTGTTGAGTTATAGCGCTGAAAGTCGTCCGGTTGGGAATTGGAACCTCTTGGGTGAATCCACAACTGCCACTGTTGTTTAAGATTTCGCTTTTTAGTTCTGTTGAAGACGCAGATTGCGTACTCCTGTCCTGCCGAGCCTTTCTGGTGCTTTCCTTTTCTTGTCTTTTGCGGATTCGCACGTTAACCTTCCCTGTTTTATGTGTCTGATTACCTTGAGGAGCTGGTTTCAATTCTGAATGAGTCTTTGGAACCGTTTGTTCCCAGGTCTGGCTCCCACTTTCTGTAGAAGCTGCTGGAAAGTCAATGTGATGAAGCCTCGTAGTGTTTCCAAATCGCAGAGCCATATTACAAATACGAACTATAAATCCGCAGTATAGTTGAAACTTTCGGTTATCAGCTGAAACTCAGAGAGAGTACTTTAGGCAAAGTAGTCCTCCCTCTTACTGTTAGATATGATAAACTTATCTCTTGTCTTTAGCTGCTGTTTTATAAACCACGAGGTAAGGGATGCTGTGTTTGAAATTCAGCTATTATACATATGCCTAAAGTTTACCACTGTGCGACAAGATCAACACTGTAAACAGAAAGTAAGAAGTCAACAATTTTTGACTAGCGGCTCACTCCACTGCAATTTTCCACTGACGACTTGCTCGACGGCGAATTGTACCGTAGTTTGTTGCTCCTGTTGTACAAATCTGCTCGCGTGTGTCGAGGTGGACATCGCTAGCACGTTGTTATCGTTGTATTCCATGAGAAAAAGTAACCGCGAAACATATGGTACCTGTTTGAAACACAACAAGGAAAGTCGAATCGAGTCATTAGCTAAACATCTGCTTGAAGCAACAGTGTTATTGGCTGACCATCTCTATTGTTTAGAGTCCGCTTTCTGACCGTCTTTGTCTTGTTCTCGCTGGCCGAGTATCACAGATAAATTAGCTTCTTAAAGACTAAGTGAATGATGATTTGGGTGACGCTAGATAATTTATATTGACTATGTCGCATGCCAGCCTCGGTTGTAAGTCTTGTGGTTCGGAGCAGGTTATTTTGGGGATTATTTAAGATTTCCCACGTTTTTGCATCCGAAATTATAAACCGTTGTTTGTTTTTCGCGATTGTGTCTCATATATTATTCACACAAATTAACCATCACATGGAGAAAGTTTCGCCTCAGTTTAGCAGCATTTTTAAATGAAACTGGCACACAAAACAGGGTTTGCAATAGCCAGTTTAGTCGCATCGACATTGAAGAAAAATCTACTGTGAAGCAAGAAGATATGTTTTTTTTTTTCTTTAAAAACCTTAGCCAGTTTCAGAAGCGATCATATTCAAATCCTTACTTGGTTGTATGGCAGAAGTACACTTTTGTTTTCTCTTGTGAAATTTCTTTACAATGAAAAACTGGTCATTGTATAGTTTCACCTGCTTTAAATGTTTTGTTATTGTGACGGATTTGTCAGAATAAATGCTCACTAACTGGCGTTTAGCTTATGTTACTCGCGGATAAGGAAGAATGCAAATTTCTCATTGTCATAGCAGAACGTTTACTCGGTTTTCAAGTCAGCAAGTTCCCACCAGGCTTTTGAGCCTGAACAATGAAAGACAAAATTTACTGAAAAGAAGTATGACCATCTTTACCGATGAAGCAAATTTTATTTCACTTCATTTCATTAATTTTCTCCTAAAAGTGAAAAACTTATCAGTCAGTTAAGCTGAGAGGTGAATCTTCTGGTAAAATATTGAAAAATACTATTTTAATATCTAGCGCTAAAAAGAAAAAATGCAGTGAATTAGTCATTAAACATTTGCACTGAAATGTCCACACAAAAATATAAACTGCCGTCTAGCTGAGCATAATCTGAATTTAAACTCAAAATTGTATTGTATTTTGGTTCAAAACCCCCTTCGAAGACTCAGCAGTCAGCGTATCTGGTTTTATATCGTCCGAGTAAGAGTAATGTAAGACCATGTAATTGCGTTTTGTTCAATGATTTCAAGGGCAGTGGATATACCCGACTCATTATTTGCTATCTTCACTTTTCATTAATGGTTCGGTTTATTCCTAATCCATTGTTTTATTTTACTTTTTATAAATATCATCATTGGGATTTTTATCGCACCGTTCATAATCCCTACAGATATTCATAAATTCAATTCACTTTTTTTCGAAGGTGTTTGTTAATTACACTGCTCGGTAGAACTTTTATAACTCTTGTTTACCGGTGTGACCGTATACGGAAACATCAGCCGAGACGAAAATTATGTTTTAAACCCAACAGGCCATTAGGCTTGAATACTATTTTACATTTATTTTACAAGTTGGGCCCAGATGTTAATGTACCTTTCTTGCGCAAGAGCTTAATCTTTGCTTTGTCTCGCCGTTAATGTATGTCTGAAAAAGAAGCTTCGGGCCCGGCAGATATAAGCTATTATGGTTTGTTCAGGTTTAGATATTGTCAGTGTTGACGACGTTTTTAACCATATCAATAAAAAATAAAGCGCTTTCCATTATAAAACATTTTGAAAAGTGAAAACTCCTCAAAGAACTCAATGCCATGTACATAAGACGTATTCTAGTCATTATTAATAGTGAAAATAGGAACACATATTAAAATTCGGGTGCCCTGACTTCAAACAACAGCAAGTTCGTATGTTTTGGTAAATACCTGAGATGTTCAAAAGGGGTTTAAAAATAACACTTTTATTGTCTACAAAACTTTAAAGTTTTAGCGTAGGGTAGTTTAAAAAATTATACAATTCTCTTAATAAATAGCGATAAAGCTTATTTTAGGAAAATTTCCTATGATTGAAAATATATATATTAAAAATATTGTCTAACTATTTTACATATATTTCGGGATTTTTTTTTACAAACTTTCGGCTGAGGGCCTGTTCAAGAGTTATGACTTTTTCTTCCAAACGTCGCACGCGACTTGCTTAGACCGGCCACTCTGCTTAGATTATGAGCTCGAGATTTCTACGAGGTGAAGTTGATGAGGCGAAGGCCGAATCAACTATATCACCCCATAGAAATCGAGAAGGAATCGTAATAATTGTTTTAGCAGAATTCTTACTTACATTTTCTAGTCAAGAAACCGTGAATGTCTTTCTTTTAGTCTTCTCGGGAATTTATTTATCGATTTGTATCTAAATATTCCTCCGTAAATTCGCCGCAAAAACGAAAAAAAGTCTCTTTTTGCAGACGACGTCCAGCCACTGCACACTAATGGATGATAGTAAACGAGTAGCTCAGGCAATCAGATTGCAGCATTTGCATTAGTATACTAGTGGAATTGTACTAAAAAAGGATAGTACATTCCATATCAGTTCACACCTTTTGGGACCAAAATGCAATTTGTACTTTACAATCATAGTGCTGTGGAGTCAAACGTCCTGCAAACTAGAAAGCTTTATAAACTCATTTAACCACAATGTATCATTGAAACTATAATGTTACTTGCTAATGTTGGAACAGAATATCCTTAAAAAATGAAGAGTCTTATTATCGACTACAGGTAGGGTCCTTTACAAACCGAAATGATTAAATAGGGATTCCGTAAGGATGTCGCATGCAACAATTTCCAGGAAGAAATCGTACCACATGTCTGTATCTTAAAAATGCTCATGTAGAAAGAGGACTTAACTCATAAGACGACTTGGCACCTTAATTGCCACCTGCTAAAAGATATCTACGGCTGACCATAGTTAAAAGATAGAAATGGTTAGAAAACGTGGCAAAATTCTTTGTTGTATATTTTAGTTGGTTATTTTGGGGGTTGACCCTGCACTAAATCTGGCAAAGACAATAGGTGGTTATGTGTCCTCATACAACTAACCAATAGAAGCATTGCGGTTATGTAATTTATGCATGGTTTATGAGCGTAAGACAAAAGATGTGCAGGGTCAAGGGCCTTCCAACATAAATCTTAGCCTGGTTTTTTTGCTTCTCTGATTTTTGCCAGCCTTCTTGACAATTTCCCACCATTAACTATGGGCTGACAAACTATGAATGAAGAACCTTAAAGTCAAACAAATCTACAGTGAAGCTGCAAGTAAATCGTTCCAAATCGTTAAATCGCAGTGTCTCTCTATTCGTTTCTCTAACGAGAACAAAAGGGACTACCTCTGTTATTTCCAGAGCTACAAGATGGCCATCGCCTGAGAGGTTCATCGACGACACTTTTGCGTCAGGAGTGAACACTGTTAACAGTGTAATTCTGTTTTTTCTCATTCTCCAAAAGCGGATCGAGCGATCCTTCGAGTCTAAGCCCCCTGCAGTTGTCATAGCAACTGATCCATCATCGGTGGTGTATACCCGATGGATCGCTCCAAGATGTGCTTGCTTGAGCCTGTGTAAGCATGTCCCTCTTTCTATGTTGTAGAGTTCCATGGTGCCATCAAACAGGCCCAGAAGTAGGGTACTTGTTTCAGAAATGATCGCTGATGAATGAACATGGTGCTCCGTTTCTGAGATGAATAAAAGTTTCCCCGTCTTCAGATCATACACGACTGCGCGGTACAACTTCACGCCAATGTCGTAGAGAATATCTGACAGGTGGTGTCCATCTTTAGCCAACTGCATTTCTAGAAAAGCAAGAAGATCGTTAAAACCATAGAAAAAAGATAAGGAACTTAACTTTTCATTTGATAGAGAGTGATACCGTTTGCATTGCATACTGTGCTTGTCTTGGCTGGCTGAGAACAAGTGTCATATCTGATTGAGTAAAAAGCTTTTTTTCATTCCTCCGAGCACGTATTAGCATTAAGAATACGAACAGGTTTTCTTATTAAGTTAAGAATTTAGTTCTCAAAGACAGCTGTACGAAATAACAGTCAAAATCACAGAAATTGAGTGGCGTATCTTAAATCATCCTAGCCATTCATATCTATCGGGACACGCCCAAACTCACCGTAGAAGTCTGCTTCTGATTCCTCTACATCAATCTCGCGGATGCACGTCTTTTCATTCAGATCCCACACGGAGTAAAAGTAACGACATTTGGCCTCGTCCTCATAGTTTATACTGTGCCCACAAACACAGATTTCACCATTTAGAGTGTGTACAAGCCTGAAACGTAAAAGACAAATTAAGATCAAAAGGCTAATGTTCCGATTCTTTAGGGAACGTTTAACGAGCCAAACGATACCAACAATCATGCTGATATCGATCATTTCCAATTACGCAATTTTATCTGTAAAATCAGGTAACTGTGTCGTGTTGGTATTTCACTGCGTCTAGCCAAAGATTCACCTACTACTGGAGCTGTCGCATCAACTGACTAGGAGTATCTAAGCTCCCCCTTGAATGGGATGCTTAGTTCATTATACCGTATATGCACCTGGATGAAGAGAGACTGTGAGAGTGCCGTGTGTCTCGTCCAAGTATTCATCTCAGTGACGCCGCCAGGGCTGAAACCTGGTCCCCTTTATCAAAGCCATAAGGCCAGAACAACACTGGTATTCAATTCCACTTCATGATCATACATACCCTATTTTAGCTCTTGTTACAAGAAAGGGAATGCTATAGTTAGCTGACGCTTACATAAAGCCTAACCAGCAGAAGATATTGGTAATAAAGCTTTGAAAACTGAATTAAGCACTCACCTTCGGACGTGTTCACATTGCATCTGCGCTATTCTTCTACCACTGCTGATGTCGAACACGCACAGAGATCGCTGATCACAAGACACTGCAATCAGCTGAGCTTGTTTGTAAACGAAAATGCTGTTCGTTAGCCCTGCTTGGTAGACGTCTCCGTCAAATTGACGAATTCTTTGCCTTTGGTTCATGTCGAAGAGATGCAACTTCCCAGAAGATGCAAGGATGACTTCGCTGTCGTTTACAAATGCCATTTGAGGCTGTAAACCATTCCTGAACTGGACGAAGCGTCTAGCTTGAAGATCTACCAGACGTATTCCGTTTTTCTCCCAGCAGATGGCATGATACCCACTCAGGTCGACAATTTCCAGCTCTGCTTCCTCTTCACTCCCTTCACTCGGTGAAGTGACATTTCTTTCCAAATCCCAGAGTCGAACAATCTTGTCACGTGATGCAGTAATAACGTGGTTTGAGTCTATAAATTCCATTAAATGAATAGTGCTTGGGTAAGTCAGCATACGCTGGATGATGTCACCCGATTTCAAGTCAAACATTTTCACTTCAGCTCGGAAAACGTTGGCATTGGCTAAAAACCTTGAATTTCCCAACGTCAAAACTTTACACTTGTCCGAGGACAATGCATAGCATCGCACCTTATCAGGGAGGTCTGCAAGCTTGCGAAATAGAATCTTCTGTGTAATATTCCAAAGTTCCAGTTTGAAAAACTTTGTCTGCACTGCTGATCCCTTCCTTCGATCCTGGGCTCCTTCACTCAAAACTAGAAGCAGCTTATCGGGCTCTGTGACGCCAATGAAATGTACCACATTGTTAGGACTGACTTGCAACCTCTCAACGACTTCTCCAGTGTCTAAATGTGCAGCTCTGATCCAGCCTCTGAAGGGAGAGGCGGAGGATACATTGTCTCTTCCCGCGTAGAGAACACTGTGGTGCTCAAGTGAACACATGAATAAGGGCGACGACATGGCATTGTGCTTTTGTAACTTTTCGTCATGAAGCTCTTGAAAAAGATGCCCTGTCTGCAGGTTATATATTTTGACATTTTGCTTGATGATCGAAGCAAGTAAAACTGTATTATCCTTCTCAAACACACATATCGGTGCAGCTGTTAATCCACGCTCCTCAACGGAAAACACCCGCTTGCCATTAGAAAGCCTCCAAGCCGATATGGAACCGGTTTGCGAAGTCACAACCGTTGAATTGTCTGGAGATATCACCACGAACCAGACATCATCACCTGAAAGATGACAAAAAAAGATACATGACGCGTATACCTGGTAAAACGTTGATTAGTGTATCTTGTTGACACCGTTTCCTGATTGTTTAGCTGTAAAATGGAATAAACATGTTTTATCTCAAGCAACGTTCAGTAACTGTCTTAGAACACTACAGGGCACCACTGTTGCGTTTCAGAGTCGGGGAATTGGTGTGATCTATTGCTAGTTTATTGTTCTAACAACCACAGACGTTGCCACCTTCCAAGAAGAACTAAGTGAGGAGACCGAGAGATCTCCTTTACAGCTTCATTTTGACAACTAGGGTTGGAAAGGGGGGGGTAACAAAGCTTAAAAATAATTAGCAGATCAAAGGAATGAAAAACTCAATTTCAAAAGCTTTTGGTATAAATGTAAACGCAGAGAAGAGTAAATGCCTATCTCTTACCTACTCCTTCCAAAGTCCGTACTAATCTTCCTGAATTGACGTCCCATATTGTACAAGTTGTGTCAGTAGAGGCACTTGCAATAAATTTGCCATCTGCACTAGCACTGAGAGCGGACGATGGTTTCTGGTGTCCTGACATCGAGTGTACCAACGGTCCACCGGGTGATGTTAAGCAAACGGAACTTGGCAACAAACAGGGTTGCCAGGAGTTTTGAGCCTGTTTCAACAAAACCTTGATATGATCCGAGTCCGAAGTTTGAATGCGCCCGAGTAGCTGAGACGATAACTGAGCAGGATGCTGAAGAAGAGCAAATGTTGATAGTTGAAGAGCTTCTTTAACAAGTTGAATATCCTTATCGGCAATTTTCTCAAGAGCAAAATCAAATTCGTCTATAAGATCTCGGAGAGAGCATGACTCCAAACACGTGAGAAGAAACGTGAAGTTACACAAGACTTCCCCTTTCAGTGTTTCTGTGTCATTACACAGCACTAAATGGTACGGTAGTTCGTTTATCTTACGATAGTTATAATTCTTTGCCTTTGTGCTTCCTTCGAATCTCCACGGCTGATGGGACACAAAGCGGTCAGCTTCCAATTCCTCTCCCTTAGCAGTCCTGTAGGGCTTCTTTCTTCCGTTAGCCCACACACCTAGAAAATAATTGCTCAGCGCCTGATGAGTGAATGTTCTTTCCTCATCTGATGATAGGTATCGAACCCTTGCAGCCTCAATAAATTGTCGGTGATACCATGTGATCACAGTCGCGCCGTCTGCTCCTCGGTCCACTAGATAACCTGCCAAGTCGCCCCTTATTCGGACCCAGAGCAGTGGAGGGATGCGCCTAATTGGTGGTGTCCAGTACTGATACACGTCATCCAACACGTGATCGTCGCATGACAGCAAATCCTCTATTTCAGTACCAGTCAGGCCACTCTTTGCAGCAGTTATGTACGCAAGAGCATGACGTACCAAGACTCTTCCATGTTGAAGTTCGACCCTCTCGAACAATGCGTTGACAGCGCCTGAAAAATACCAATAAAAAGCAGGTTTGAAAATGTGATTCGGTCTCTTGTTTGAAACATCAATCAATTTTTGAGACTCTTTTTACTGCTTAATTCCTCAGAAGCCGTCGAAATTTTGAGATGAAAAGGGATGGTTTTTAAAAGATAACTTTCATTGCAACAGGCTGCACATGATAACTTTTGTTTAACATGTTTGTCACTGAAGTCCTATTGTTGCCAATGTTTATCACCTGGGACTGAGGAAAATAAGGCTGCTATGATGTTTGTATAGATCTATGTGCTAAAGATAATCAATTTCATTCACCTCTAACTGTGTCTTGAAGTACAGTCTCGCTGGGTAGAGAGTAGGACTTCCATCTTATGGCTTCGTCATACGCGACTCTTATGAAGATTGGAAGGGAACACTTTTGAAGCGCGTCATTGATGATGGCTTCCTGCGATGGCGAGAGGGTTCTTCCAGCAATACTCAGCCAGTTACTTAGAATTTGAAATGCGTCATCTTCTGGCAACTTGGGAACTTCTACAAAGTCTTCTTCAGAAAATAATGACTACAAAAAGAGAAAGACAAAAAAAATACAAGCTACTTTCAATACTGATACTAATCAACTTGAAAGATGAATAGCTGCGGCCATTCGAGGCTGAACGGTCAGTATGTCCATTTGCTCCTCAACACGAATAATGTCAGAACAGCTTTTTTTCCTACTATAAAGAAGTACAAGCCCAACCTGTTCATCCTCTATATCCTGAAGTGATACGTTCATTCCTAGGGTTAAACTTCAACAAATGAATCTAACACCGGGTGAGTCCTTTGGAGGAGAAAACTGAAGAGCAGTTGCTGTGTTCTGATTTGTTGAACTATTGATTTTGCAAAATAAAATGGAAATTTTCTTTCAAGTTTGAATTTGGGCTCTTTTAGAAGCAAAAATGTTAAAATTTCAATACGAAACAAATTCTTTACGAACCTGTAGAATTGGGAAGCACTCGTATTCACTATTGGGTAATGTAGAAACAACTAGCTTAACGTTGCTAGGGAGAACTGTAGGCAACCACGCAAGTTGTCTGGCATTATCCTCAGGACCAAATTGATCAAGAGAATCAAGAAAAATAAACAGCGGCTCTTCTGCACTGGCAAAATGAAGGCAACTGGCGAAATCTTCCTGAAGTTCCTTCATCTCCTGTAAAATTGAAAGCAGAATGGTTAGACGTTGTATAGCCATCTTAGATGTTGTATCGTTATCTTTTCCTTTAAAAGCTAATAATACTCGGCAGTTTCATCGCCATGAAAACTAAAATGTCTTTACTTCCCCTCTAACTTGTTTTGTAGATTGACTTGCCCCCTGACAATGCCAGCTACCCGTTTACCTGCGCAGTGCAGTTTAGAAAGAGGAAGGCTCTGGGCAGATAACCCAACTACATACATACAAACCTTTCTGACTTTGGTAGAGTCACGACCATAGATAGTGCAGATTTGGTGACAGACACTGTGAAGCAGTAGACGAACTTGCGAGGAATTCGGAGTGGTTCCGATATATCGAATGACGATGTTTGATTGGCTGAAACTTTGACACGATTCTTTTGCAATCATAGACATCACCGAAGTCTTGCCACAGCCTGACTGCCCGTGAATTACAAGAGGACGACGCGCATCATTCTAGAAAAAAAAAGAAACACTAGAAACACTGCAGCAAGTAACCTGAGAAGATTTCCTGAAAGTGACGGACTTTTCGGGTGCAATCAGTGTAACAATCGAAATTCATAATGTAAATCTAGTCCTCTCTTGCTAGTTAAAAAAATACATGCATTTACCTGAATGTAAGCATTGCATCGGCTCAAGATTTCTTTTCTTCCGTAGAACGTGTCACACTTGGTTTGACAAAACAACAAATGTTGAACGACTTCCTCATACAGTGGATCGCTAACATCAGCTTTGATTCTCTTCTGTATGGAATTAGTAATCTTTTCTTTCATTAGAAACTCAACCTCTCTGCACAAATTATCTATATAGCCGGCATGCTCAGGCACCATGGAAGGACATATTCCCTGTGTGCTCCATTTAATCTCAAATTTCCTGATATTTGAAGTAGGAACGACGTTTGTAACGACTTCCATCAGTTTCTAGATAAGATAAACGAATAAGGATAAAAAAATAAGCTGGATGAGCAAGGACCTAACACCGGGCTTCTTTTCTGCCGAAAAGAACACTTTAGAACCCGTGGTTATTACCACAGACAGGAAACTCCCAAATCGTTACTGGCTACAGAAAGGTAAAGCCTGCAGATAAACCCTTTTTTTTTTTTTCAGTTCTCCTAACCTCATGCGAAACCTTTAACTTTTAATCTGGAAGGTTTTCTTGTGTCATTGTATTTTTTATCTCCTTAGCTTTNGGGGGGGGGGGGGGGGGGGTAACAAAGCTTAAAAATAATTAGCAGATCAAAGGAATGAAAAACTCAATTTCAAAAGCTTTTGGTATAAATGTAAACGCAGAGAAGAGTAAATGCCTATCTCTTACCTACTCCTTCCAAAGTCCGTACTAATCTTCCTGAATTGACGTCCCATATTGTACAAGTTGTGTCAGTAGAGGCACTTGCAATAAATTTGCCATCTGCACTAGCACTGAGAGCGGACGATGGTTTCTGGTGTCCTGACATCGAGTGTACCAACGGTCCACCGGGTGATGTTAAGCAAACGGAACTTGGCAACAAACAGGGTTGCCAGGAGTTTTGAGCCTGTTTCAACAAAACCTTGATATGATCCGAGTCCGAAGTTTGAATGCGCCCGAGTAGCTGAGACGATAACTGAGCAGGATGCTGAAGAAGAGCAAATGTTGATAGTTGAAGAGCTTCTTTAACAAGTTGAATATCCTTATCGGCAATTTTCTCAAGAGCAAAATCAAATTCGTCTATAAGATCTCGGAGAGAGCATGACTCCAAACACGTGAGAAGAAACGTGAAGTTACACAAGACTTCCCCTTTCAGTGTTTCTGTGTCATTACACAGCACTAAATGGTACGGTAGTTCGTTTATCTTACGATAGTTATAATTCTTTGCCTTTGTGCTTCCTTCGAATCTCCACGGCTGATGGGACACAAAGCGGTCAGCTTCCAATTCCTCTCCCTTAGCAGTCCTGTAGGGCTTCTTTCTTCCGTTAGCCCACACACCTAGAAAATAATTGCTCAGCGCCTGATGAGTGAATGTTCTTTCCTCATCTGATGATAGGTATCGAACCCTTGCAGCCTCAATAAATTGTCGGTGATACCATGTGATCACAGTCGCGCCGTCTGCTCCTCGGTCCACTAGATAACCTGCCAAGTCGCCCCTTATTCGGACCCAGAGCAGTGGAGGGATGCGCCTAATTGGTGGTGTCCAGTACTGATACACGTCATCCAACACGTGATCGTCGCATGACAGCAAATCCTCTATTTCAGTACCAGTCAGGCCACTCTTTGCAGCAGTTATGTACGCAAGAGCATGACGTACCAAGACTCTTCCATGTTGAAGTTCGACCCTCTCGAACAATGCGTTGACAGCGCCTGAAAAATACCAATAAAAAGCAGGTTTGAAAATGTGATTCGGTCTCTTGTTTGAAACATCAATCAATTTTTGAGACTCTTTTTACTGCTTAATTCCTCAGAAGCCGTCGAAATTTTGAGATGAAAAGGGATGGTTTTTAAAAGATAACTTTCATTGCAACAGGCTGCACATGATAACTTTTGTTTAACATGTTTGTCACTGAAGTCCCATTGTTGCCAATGTTTATCACCTGGGACTGAGGAAAATAAGGCTGCTACGATGTTTGTATAGATCTATGTGCTAAAGATAGTCAATTTCATTCACCTCTAACTGTGTCTTGAAGTACAGTCTCGCTGGGTAGAGAGTAGGACTTCCGTTGCCAATGTTTATCACCTGGGACTGAGGAAAATAAGGCTGCTACGATGTTTGTATAGATCTATGTGCTAAAGATAATCAATTTCATTCACCTCTAACTGTGTCTTGAAGTACAGTCTCGCTGGGTAGAGAGTAGGACTTCCATCTTATGGCTTCGTCATACGCGACTCTTATGAAGATTGGAAGGGAACACTTTTGAAGCGCGTCATTGATGATGGCTTCCTGCGATGGCGAGAGGGTTCTTCCAGCAATACTCAGCCAGTTACTTAGAATTTGAAATGCGTCATCTTCTGGCAACTTGGGAACTTCTACAAAGTCTTCTTCAGAAAATAATGACTACAAAAAGAGAAAGACAAAAAAAATACAAGCTACTTTCAATACTGATACTAATCAACTTGAAAGATGAATAGCTGCGGCCATTCGAGGCTGAACGGTCAGTATGTCCATTTGCTCCTCAACACGAATAATGTCAGAACAGCTTTTTTTCCTACTATAAAGAAGTACAAGCCCAACCTGTTCATCCTCTATATCCTGAAGTGATACGTTCATTCCTAGGGTTAAACTTCAACAAATGAATCTAACACCGGGTGAGTCCTTTGGAGGAGAAAACTGAAGAGCAGTTGCTGTGTTCTGATTTGTTGAACTATTGATTTTGCAAAATAAAATGGAAATTTTCTTTCAAGTTTGAATTTGGGCTCTTTTAGAAGCAAAAATGTTAAAATTTCAATACGAAACAAATTCTTTACGAACCTGTAGAATTGGGAAGCACTCGTATTCACTATTGGGTAATGTAGAAACAACTAGCTTAACGTTGCTAGGGAGAACTGTAGGCAACCACGCAAGTTGTCTGGCATTATCCTCAGGACCAAATTGATCAAGAGAATCAAGAAAAATAAACAGCGGCTCTTCTGCACTGGCAAAATGAAGGCAACTGGCGAAATCTTCCTGAAGTTCCTTCATCTCCTGTAAAATTGAAAGCAGAATGGTTAGACGTTGTATAGCCATCTTAGATGTTGTATCGTTATCTTTTCCTTTAAAAGCTAATAATACTCGGCAGTTTCATCGCCATGAAAACTAAAATGTCTTTACTTCCCCTCTAACTTGTTTTGTAGATTGACTTGCCCCCTGACAATGCCAGCTACCCGTTTACCTGCGCAGTGCAGTTTAGAAAGAGGAAGGCTCTGGGCAGATAACCCAACTACATACATACAAACCTTTCTGACTTTGGTAGAGTCACGACCATAGATAGTGCAGATTTGGTGACAGACACTGTGAAGCAGTAGACGAACTTGCGAGGAATTCGGAGTGGTTCCGATATATCGAATGACGATGTTTGATTGGCTGAAACTTTGACACGATTCTTTTGCAATCATAGACATCACCGAAGTCTTGCCACAGCCTGACTGCCCGTGAATTACAAGAGGACGACGCGCATCATTCTAGAAAAAAAAAGAAACACTAGAAACACTGCAGCAAGTAACCTGAGAAGATTTCCTGAAAGTGACGGACTTTTCGGGTGCAATCAGTGTAACAATCGAAATTCATAATGTAAATCTAGTCCTCTCTTGCTAGTTAAAAAAATACATGCATTTACCTGAATGTAAGCATTGCATCGGCTCAAGATTTCTTTTCTTCCGTAGAACGTGTCACACTTGGTTTGACAAAACAACAAATGTTGAACGACTTCCTCATACAGTGGATCGCTAACATCAGCTTTGATTCTCTTCTGTATGGAATTAGTAATCTTTTCTTTCATTAGAAACTCAACCTCTCTGCACAAATTATCTATATAGCCGGCATGCTCAGGCACCATGGAAGGACATATTCCCTGTGTGCTCCATTTAATCTCAAATTTCCTGATATTTGAAGTAGGAACGACGTTTGTAACGACTTCCATCAGTTTCTAGATAAGATAAACGAATAAGGATAAAAAAATAAGCTGGATGAGCAAGGACCTAACACCGGGCTTCTTTTCTGCCGAAAAGAACACTTTAGAACCCGTGGTTATTACCACAGACAGGAAACTCCCAAATCGTTACTGGCTACAGAAAGGTAAAGCCTGCAGATAAACCCTTTTTTTTTTTTCAGTTCTCCTAACCTCATGCGAAACCTTTAACTTTTAATCTGGAAGGTTTTCTTGTGTCATTGTATTTTTTATCTCCTTAGCTTTATCAAAAAAGATGATTATCGCGTGTGTTCTTATGAGACTTAGGGTTAGGATAAATCTGGTCACAGTACCTGCAATAGTTGTTGAGCATCAGTGTCAATCTCTTTTGTGTCTGCGTTAATATCAATGAAGTACTGAACGTTTTCATTTTGTAAATGGTTCTTAAGATCCTGGATATTCCTGCTGATCCACAAGCATTGTTCCTCTGGATGTGGTTCGCCCAGGACACCATGGCGGATCTCACTTTCTGTCACTAAAAGATATACAGAATGTACTGGGGTTACCTTTCTCTATGAATGCTCGTGCCAGCCTTTTGTAACCAGCAAACAACGTACTTCATACCTTATGGAAAAACGATAATCAGCCAATCGTGTTTTACGAAAAAAAGAAAAAAAGAAACAGTAAAAGGAAAACGTAATTTTCACTTTTAAACACCGTGTTAAGGATATTATGTTATTGTAGTATCTTGCAAATAAATAATATAGTTTGTAGCTTTGTCGCAGCCGTGAGTTGAGGTAAAAAAGTAAAAACTTTTTTCTCCATTTCGTATCGTCCAATTTGATCAAGCAAATTGGAACCCACATTGTACAAATGTAAGTAGGATAGTTCATAAAAAAAAAAAAAAAAAAATGCTGCCTTATCTCCAACGCAGGGCGTGTTACCTGACATGAAATACTTGTGCAGCCACTCTTCTTCTTGATCTTCAAACATCTTTCTAGCTTCTCGCCTGAGGATGTTTTGAATCTGCGCAAAAATTTGACTCCACTGCTGTAGTGCAAGCTTCCTTTGTTTAGCATCGCGACAGAGGTGGTCAGGGATGTGAGAGCTTACTGGCTGAAGGACATAGGTTGGCGGTACTGCGTTCATATCACATTTGAACCACGTCTCCAAAACTGCTTTCTCCTCCTGGTCTGTCATGTTGCTGAGGAGTTTCTCAAATTCAGTGGAAGGTATTTTGGATGGAAGCGGACGAAAACCATACTTTTGGCCCAGAAAGGTCTGATAAAAATAGCAAAAACATTTCAGGGTCTTGAAGGGCAAGGGGGAGCGAAAACTTCAGTCGCAAAACGATAAGTTATATACACAACAGACAAAACTTTGTAAAGAATAATTTCCCTTCTCAAGGACCAAATGAACGAACGTTACAGCTATGGTCCTCTGAGGAGAGTAGAAATCCTTCAAGCCGGTGGCTTTCTTCTAACGCAATGAGGCTAAAGGCTGACTTGTTGAATGCGCGCTTTTACTTGACTGTGTGTCATTTGAAGAATCTTTGTCAAAATTTGTTTAAAAAATGGGGAAAAGGAGTCAAAAACTCGATGAAAAAGTACTGACTTAACGCTATATACTAGACAAATAATGTGCATCTCTAATCGAGGACGTTATTTATTTTGTCCCAAAAGCCTCTAGCTGTAGTACCAGTTGCTGAGCGTCTAAGAGTTGGCCTCGCCAGAAGATACAGGACATGTAGGGCTATCTAAAAGGGCACCCTTTTCGACGGCCTTCAATAACGAAGCAAATTTAGTCTATTTACCACAAAATTAGGTCCAGTGGAAAGGTCCTGACACGCCTTAAGTTCCTTTAAACACAGCTCTAGTGTAGAATGATCATCTGTGGACTCATCACGTACTCCCCAACGCATGTCAACCACCTGATTACAGAATACGAATGCACAACAACCAATTACTGATGATGCCGTCAACCACCTTCATAAAATGAAGTGACTGGAAGAGCTACTGAAGACGCTTAAAAAGAAAGTAGCAACTACGTAGTCTCAAAACACAAAAAAAGGTCAAACTATCGATTTACATGGTTTGTTAGCTAACGCTTTGAACAAGACTGTTACCGTGCCAGTGTCCAAAACACAAGGAATGTCAGCGGGAACAAAATTAGGTAAATAAGAAGAAGTTCCCGTCGTTTCGACCGACCTGAAACTCGTAACCTTTCTCCTGTGCAAACTCCTTCAGTCTTGGGTAGATCCTCTCCATCAAGGCATTTCTTTCAGCCGCCATGTCTAAATATTTAAACCATATCAAAGTTTCGCAAAAATGAATTCATCTCTACTTTGCCACCTTGCTTCGAGTTAAGAAATTTCTGGGGCAAAATAGTCTTCCATTTTGCCTCCTTTCTGATGTAAATCCCAGTGGCGGATCCAGACCTTGAGCAAAGGTGGGGACGGGGGGCGGTTTTGTTTTGCTTACCCTGCCGGCTTTTCTTCCTTCTGTGATTTCTTCTTTTTTACCCAAAATAACGGGGAGGGGGAACTGGGAACCCCGGGCACCTCCCTTAGATCCGCCACTGAATCCTCTATTGTAAACACTTCGGCCAGTGGCTGAGTCATGTTTTTTTGAAGATTTCCAATGATTGCCGCTTAAGTCCACATCCTACAGAGAAATCATTATTCTGCATTTCCTGCTCGTGGAAGTAGACAAAATAAATAGATAAATAATTTTCAATCTAAATATATAGATATCTGATGTCAGAAGAATGAACCTGTAAACGTAGAGCTGGTAAATATCCGAATGATCTTGGCCTTAGCAGTTAAACGTTGTTCCAAGTCTCCACGCATGACTCTCCTATGCCGAGCCGAAAGTTCGGGAAACTGGTGTAAAGTGCTCTTTGTAGCTGCCGAGGAAACCCTGGAGCCTGAGGATGGACTGTCATCAAATATGACTGAGCCTGGTGACAAGGTCGAGTCTTCATTTGTTCTGCTGTCAGAATCAACTGACACCCTAGGGGAAATAGATAAACCCAAATGACGTTCGTAAGTGAACGATTTAACAGATTTATGTCCGAGAAAAAAAAAATGAAGTTTTAAGTTGGGAAATCAATGTGACTATTGAACTCTTTTTTAAAAACAAATGAAAACGGCCAACCTTGTAGTGATGACAGGTGCATTTTCAAGCTTAATCTGCTTCAGAGATTTCGTACACACTGCACCCATCTGAAGTGTTCCTTATATCAATATGAGGCAATACATACTTTTTCTCTCACTGAAAAGTTCTGAAGAGAAGAAGGACAAACTTACTAACGTATTGTTTTTATCGTACAAAAGCGTTTATAAAATTATTTGTATGCTAAGTGGTTTGTCAAGATGAACTGAAAAAGTGGTATTGGCGTTGCTTTGTATCCCTCGCGATTTACAAAAATTTCTTTGGCTTTAGAAAGAGTCACAGGTGAACAGTTCATTCTTTTTATTCCTTTATTTACTCTCATCCTACTAGCTGGATGGTATGCTCCTTGCTGTGCACCTCAACTTTGTCTCAGTCCACTTAAACGGCCTTAGTCAGTCATACCTTTGGTTTTGTTTACATGTGGGAGTTTGGCTATTATATTTTATTCGGAGAAGGAAATCATTGTAAAAGAACAAAAGATAATTAAACACACTTTCAGGAACACAACTTAGAGTAAAGCAATAAGATTTCGCTTCACCATGACATATCCGGCAATAATTTCGATGGCATCGAAAATGACGGAGGCTGACTAGGGTCCCTTAAACAACAGCAAAAAAACAGTAACAAATATACCATTATGAATATCAATTGTCGAGACAGCCATATCCTGCTTTACTGTTAAAGTATCACTTTCCCGGGCAGGTTATAGAACTTCGGGCGAAACATCGAGCACAAATGAGTTTTCATCTGACTTCATTTTCATGCAAATCAAACTCTTGATCACAAAAAGAGATGATGCAAACTGACCGCCGTGACAATTTACCTTGTTTGTTACACCCGGGGTTACCATTCCGTTATACATCATTTTGTCCGCAGGAATGAGAACTCTAAATAAGCAAGAGCCGATCTTGCGTAGCTGTCCAGTGTTTAATATAAGCCTGTATATTACTTCAAATGCTTTCTGATATCCACCAGGTTTTGAGTTATATGCATTGTTTTAAGGCGTATAAAATATCGTGAAAATCAACGGGTAGGTGGGAGGTGCGGAGGAGGGACGTGTAAACACTCTACATAAATATTGAATGCCATTCTACTATTTTTCTGTTTGTTCGCGTACTCTGAGCACCCTTAAAGTGGACGAAATTTTACGCGAGTAAATAACATAAAGGAAATATTTGGACCGCTGCCGTTGCGGAAAAAATAAAAGTGGTCTCATTTTTTGTTATTGCTTGCCTTCGATGAAGTGTTTTATTTACGCACGTTAAGTCAGCACTGACAGTTATCAGGGGAAACGGGCATGATTTCAAGACATTTCAGAAAGCTGACAGGGCCGAGAGAGGTGATAAGATGTAATATTAGTATAGATGTATCTGGGCGTTACGGGTGGTTGGAGTTGCACTGCATGCCCCGTGTCACGATCTAGCATATGTATGATCGTGTGTATTTAGATTTTGTGTGTCCTAATAACATCTTCACCTTCCTACCGATGCCAATGGGTTTTGGGAACGACCGGTTATTCTATTAAACATGTAAAGCTAAATGTAAATACACTGATCAACCACTAAACAGACAATGAGAAGTGACACTGAATGAATAATCTAATTTTTACAAGTAAATCTCTTACCAGAAGGCGTCGATGTCCATCGGGTGTTCAGATCTTTAACTGTTCGTCCAGCCCTCCGCCTGTACCGGAGTAGTACAGCATTTCATATGCGTAGTATATAGTAATCCACTGCATTCAGGCCTATTCAATTCGAGCGCTCGCGTTATGCAAATATATGCATGTCAGATTACTTCTGAACACAAGACCTGTTGCTTGGCAATATCAAGTGTTTATCACGTACTGAAGGTATTTTGACGCAAGAGGCCTGTGGTGCTGAATTAATTATACAAAGAAATTTTGGATCGCTAAAGCTACTCGTATTAAAATTTTTGATAGTTTTTGTACATTGTGAGTGAGGTCAACCTTCAGTGAAAGTAATGTAGTAAAAAGCACATAATTCTTCATCACT